CCACCGCTACCACCGCTACCACCATTATCGTCACTACTACCTGCCTCATCGCCACTATCACTATCTATATCATCACTACCGCCACTGCCATCTTCTCCACTACTCTCATCACTAGCAATAGAACCATTACCACCGTTACCACTCTCTCCAACACTATCATCATCTTCCTCATTATCAGCATATAAGGCCAAACCATTTCAACTTATTTGTAAAAGAATTGTTAAAGAAAATTTTACATCCAAGTATCACCATTGTAATAATACCTATTCCCCATATGGTTCGAGTCTTAAATATAAAAAACATATTATCCAAGTTGGTGTTCCTGGAAGAATGAAAGAAATACTCGGGTTTACAAGTAATAAAAAAAATAGTAAATTTCAATATGATATTTTATTAGAAGCCAAAAGAAATTACTCTCCACCTCTTTTAAAAGAACTCCTTGATTATAACAATCAAACAAAAGACAAAGAAGATCATGTAAAGATTAGAAAACTTTCCATTTATGGCCAAGGGTTTGGTAATAACTCCAAAAACAGTTTTGAACAAATCTTAAAATTGCGTCCATCCAATATTTCTTTCAATTACTACCAGTCCTATCCCTCTTTGCAACACGTAGACTATTCACCCATTTTCACGAGCTCCTCAGTAAAGAAATTGGTGGTTTCAGAATATGACTATGTAGATCCACATTCGATAGGTACTATTCTAAACAACCCAATGACCAAATTGAAATTGCTACACGTTCCTATCAGATTCCACGAAATTGCTCAAATGGTACGATATGATACAGATATAGCCAATGGTTGGGAATCCTGTGTCAAAGCTCTTGAAGAAAATAATTCCATCAAAGAATTGGGTTTTGTAAATTTTTGCAAATCCTCCACTGCCTGCAACAGAGATGATAACTATGACATCGGCATTTTGAATGATGGTTTAAAAAGAATAGTAACAAGCCCCTCTACCCGTATCAAAACTTTAATTTTATCTGATCTAGAATTTGTTAACTGTAATTTTCTCCATGCTCTCACTCTAAATACCACCATTAGAACATTAGTAATCAACAATATGGACCTAGTCATTTTTTTAAAAGCTAATGTTTTTTCAAATAGAAATATTAGAAACCTATTCATTATGATCCCCAAACAAAGTAGACTCTCCCATCAAAAATGCTGCCAAAAACTTGGTCGAATTATTAAAAACTTCTGATTTATACTCAGTATCCATCAATAATGACTTTGATATAGAATTATTTTTAAAAGAATTAAACACATTCTCTTTCAACTTAAAAGAACTTAACATTTACAGCCTCTCCAAAACCATTTTGAAAAACGGGTTAATTTTCAATAACGGTAATACAATCGTTAATTTTATACATAACTAAAAAAAAAAAAAAGTAAAAAAAAAAAAAGTAAAAAAAAAAAAAGTAAAAAAAAAAAAAAAAAAAAATTTTAAATTAAATAAACTTTATCAATAATTTTTTATAACTATTTACTTTCCTCCTTTATGTTACATTTGTTTCTGTAGTATCAGCATTCTAAATCTTTACCCATTCCTTTAAAGTTTTTTTTTAATTATCTAAACCACACAATAATAAAGTAATCTAAACTCTGGCTCCAATTAACATGCTTTAAATCCTCATATTATAAAATTAAATAAATAAAACCCTTTCTTTTTGTATTTCTTTTTTTAAAATTTTCTATTTACATAAAAAAAAAAAAAAAACTATTATTTTTATTTTTTTATTGTAATAATTCAAAAAACTAATATATCACTAAATAAACTATTTCTATCAATATAATCATTATTTCTCTTTTTTATTAATTTTAAATAATAAAAGCAATAATAAATAAAATAATTTTTAAAATGAAAAATAAACAATTATTAAAAATAAAAGAATATAAAAAATTAAATAAATACTGGTTAGAAAAGTCTGAACTCAATGATGATTTAGAATATGAAAATGATAGTATATTTTTTTCAAAATCAAAATCATTGAAAAGAAAAAAAGAAAAGAGTAATGAAAACGATAATCTTCCAAAATTCAGTCCAGATAAGCCATATTATGAAATTTTTGTCGATGAAGTAGTCACTAAAACCATTTATGTAACTGATTATGACATTTGCTATTGTGATATAAATAAAAAATACTACTACAAAATTCCCCTTACTCTTGAAAAATTTTCAATAATAGATCTGTTTGATGCACCGGATGAGGAATTAGTACTAAAGCCACCCAAACCAACAACTCCAGTATCACCATCATCAACTGATAATAATTATAATCAAGATATTACAAAAAAAGAAGAGTATGTATATATTTAAAAATACTTATTTTTTATAAAAATATAATATATTAATAATAAAATTTTATAATAGTCCTAAAAATTAAACAAATTCTTTATAATTTGTAAAATAGATCTCAGACAAACAAAAGAAAATTCCTTTTTTATACAAAATTTAAATATTACAATAAACATAAAAAACTATACAAAGTATAGTTAATAATTATTTTTTCATTTTTTATTTTTATTTTTTATTGATTTATTTGTTAATTTGTTAATTTGTTTTATTTATTTATTTATTTATTTATTTATTTATTTATTTATTTATTTATTTATTTATTTATTTATTTATTTATGAATATTTCTGGCGTTAAAAATTAATATGATATTCCCAAACCTAAAAATCGATCTTTCAACATTTCTTGCTTGAGGTATCTACATCATTACTATTATTATGAATACTGTTATTTTCTATTATATGCTACATTATTGTTTTTATTCTTTATATTCCATTTCTTACTATATTAATAATTTTCTTGACTTTCCTTCTCTACTATACTTGGTTGATTACTAACACAAGTTCTTTACCATCGGCAATATGAGATTTTATAATCAGACCACATTTCAGATCGAGAGCGGCAATAATGTTTGAGACAAAGCATTTTTGAAAGTTGAAAACCACTTTTGAAAAAAATAATTGAATCTGTTAAGTATACTTAATTTTGTAGAGGGGCATTGAAAAATGTAATTGTCGATTTTTGATCTTATTAATTGTTTTTAAATCTATTTCAATTCTTTTCTGTTATTTCATTTCCAAAGGGTGCTTCTTTAAATACCTTAGCATATAAATACTGATAGATCAAATGTACCAACATATTTATCATTTAATAATACACAAATCAATATACTTGAAACATTAAGAAATTTTTTTATAATAAATTCTTTGTGTTTCTTTATTTTTTTTGATTGCTGCTGCCATACATTCTGCAACTGTTGATTTTGCTACTGTTGCTGGCTGATTCGTTATTTATTTGTTTCATTGTTGTGATTTTTTCTATTTTTTATGGTTGTTTTGATTGTTTTTGTGGGCTCTGCTAGCTGTCGATCCAATGGATATTTGTTTATTATTTTAACTGGCAAAGGATCCATTTTATCATCATCTTGTGTGATTAGCATTCTTCTTTTGACTCAATATCTTTTGTAAAATAGGTTTGCAAGGATATTATAATTATTATCATCTGTCTAATGTTTTTTTTAAAAAAAAACAATTCAAATTTTTATAAAATGTATTAAAATTTTAAAAAATTATTGTGTGGTATTATTTTTTTTTTTTTTATATAGGAAAAATTTATAATATTTTATTTATTTTTTTAAAAGAAAAATTGTTTGAAATTTATTATTTATATTTATGAGGGTTGATGATTATTTTTTTTTTTTTTTTTCATTTTTTTTAAAAATATCTTTTTTGGATTATTCAAAAAAATTTTAAAAAAAAAATATTGATTGAATTATTTGAATTAAGTATGAATACATGTTATAAAAAATTTGAAATTTTTTGTTTTTTTTATATTTTTGTAATAATAATGATTGGCAAGGAGATGTCTATTCGCTTTCATCAGAACTTTCAGATGATGGTTCAACTGGTTGACTCTTTAATTTTTCGTCGTATTGTTTTTTCTCGATTTCCCATCTCTTTTTGTCTTCAGCAGCCATGTTTTCATATTTCTTTTTTTCATCAGCACTGATTTGGCCCCATTTTTGACCCAAAAGTGAACCGATTTCACCAAAAGTACTGCTTGGGTTTTGTGCCTTGATTGTTGGTCTGTATTCTTTAGAGAAGAAGATAAATGGCGAGAGATAACGACGTGGAGCATTTTCATCCTTGTTCTTCTTTCTACCTCTCTTTTCTTTCTTTCCTTTTTTGGTTTTTGGATCTTTCTTAGTCTTCTTGACTGGAGTTTTCTTGATTTTCTTTTCTTCACCTGATGAAGATGAACATGACTCTTCTGAAGAGCTCATTTTCTTTGTTTGTAGTTTATATAAAAAAAATAAAAAATAAAAAATATAACTTTAAAAAGTTTTTAAATAAAACTATTATATAAAATAGTAATAATTATAGATTTAAAAATATATATAAAATATAGAAATATAAATATATTTGAAGTTGAAAAAGAAAAAAGAAAAAAGAAAAAAAAAAAAAAAAAATTGGTGAATAATTTTTTTAAAAAAATTTTTTTTTAAAAATATTATGCGGTTGGATCAAAATATTTAAAAATTTAAATAAAAAAAAAATAAATAAAAAAAATAAAAAATTTTAATATGGGGAATATAAATAAAAAATTAACATATAAAAATTTCAAAAAAAAATTTCAAAAAAAAAAAAAAAAAAAAAAAAAAAAAAATTCAAAAATTTATAAATTTTTTAAAATGGCATTTTTTCAACAGTAATAAAAAAATTGGGATTTTATTTTAAATAATAATATTTTATAAATACAAATGTTTTTCATTATATAGACAGAAGATACCTTTTTGGGTGTTAATGACTCCCCACACAAAAAACAAAAGGTATTTTTGGAGGAATTTGATAGTTTAAATCAACATTCCCAGTATTTTCAAACAAACTCTGTAATTATTCCGGATCAATTAGATGAGGAACAAATTGAAGACCGATATCGGATGACTATTTCTCATTTGACCAAATTACCAACACCAATAATTATGGCTTTCACTCCAAACTCAATGGACCAAAGTAGAAAATATCATGTCTTTGATGATAGTTATTATGAGAAAGAAATCAAATCCTTGGATATATTTAACTCTTATGCCGAAAATAATATCAATTTATTTTTGATCATTTTAATCATATTAATTTAAAAAAAAAAAAAAAAAAATTAAAATTGTAAATCTTCAAAAGAATTAAATGTATGTGAATGTGTATGAAAATAAAAAAGCGTAAAATATTTTTTAAAATCTAAAAATACTTTAATTTATTTATTTATTTATTTATTTATTTATTTATTTATTTATTTATTTATTTATTTATTTATTTATTTTCTTTTAATCAAAAAACTAATTAATTTAAAAATATATGGATGTTAAACTTTGGAATATTTAAATTGACGAAGTTCCTATATCCTACACCCTGGTATGATTTCTTTAAAATAGATAGCCCCTCATTGATTAAATTCTCTATTTAATTTTTTTTTTACCTGTATTTACAATATTAAAAAAAAAATTAATTAATTGGTATTGCTTACAATTATTCAATTATTGTTATTTATGATTTTTTTATTAATTTACTATTTATTATTTTATTATTTATTTATTCATTCACCGAAATTTGTATTTTCAAATATATTTAAAATAAAAAAAATTAATAAAAAAATTTAAAAAAAAAAAAAAAAAAAAATTTTTTAATTTTTTTTTTTAATTTTTTTTTTTAGCTTGCCCAAATCGGTTCACATCTTGTTTAAAATAACAATATAATTATTATTATAATTATTATAATCATCATACCAATAATCTGAAATAATTGAATAAAAATACAAAATACTCAAACGATGAAAGGGGTATAATGATATTTGTAATAACATACTCAGAAATTCAAAAAATTCATCCTTTTTTAGTAACTGACACTTCCAACAATAACAAAAATATATTTTTTTGTTGAACTTGAAAAAAAAAAATTCAAAAATACAAAAATAAAAAATAGTAAAAACAGATAATGTACAAAATTAATAATGAAAATGAAGTATCGCGACGTCCAAATTGTCTCATCACACACTTTAAACACATAAATTTACCAATATTAGTATATTTATATTTTGAAATAGGGGGGGTATTCAAATTATTTTTAGTTTTTTTGGGGGTAAATTAGTTGTATTTGAATAAATAATGGGCGTTTATTAAAGTTTTTTTATTTAAATATAATTTTATTTTTATTTATTTATTTATTTTTTTATTTATTTATTTATTTTCTTCATATTAATATTTTTATTTAAATCATTTATTAATATTGTCTCAATACTTTATTTCATTGATTACTAATTTACGTATAAATAAATGGAATTTAATAATAATAATATTAATAATAATAATATTAATAATAATAATATTAATAATATAAATAATAATATGAATAATATTATTCAAAGTTTAAATCTTGTGTTGATATCTCAACCACTAAATCAAAAAGATAATAATAATAATAATAATAATAACAATAATAATTATAATAATAGTAATAATAAAAAATACAAAATTAATTGTGTTTGTCCAACTTATACAGTTTATGGCAGTGTTTTAGTACCACCCCCAGAAGTTGTAGTTAGAGGTTATATGGGCATATCAAAAGACCTAATGGTAACAGCCTCCGTTGATTCAAATATTATTTCAAACTCTAATGATGTAAAGGTTGAAGAAAGTGATGGTCTTATCAGGTTCCAATTTGGCAATATGTGCTTCAAAAGAGAGAATGAGGACGATCTTAGACCATTTCGTATAGGATTCCATGTTTGTTTGAAAGGACAATCAGAAACATACTATTCTGGATATATTCAGGTATTCAAACACACAAGTCTTTTGCCTGGTATGGATATTGTCCGTTTATCTCATAATGGCCTCTGTTCCCCACAAGAGGGAAAAATTACCGCCTATGGTCACTTCACAAGTAATGAAGCATTCAATGTAGAGTATAAACCAAGTGATGGAATAGAGAAAAATGAAGCACCAAATATTATTCCATACAGCTCGCTTGAAAAACCATCTCCATCATCATTCAAGATATCATTCCTTGCTCCTTCAGAAATTAATGAATTTTTTTACTTTTCAACTCGTTGTCATAATGATAGATTAAAAGTTGGTATACCATATAACCTTTCATATAAAAGTAAGTTTAACTTTTTTACATTTAATTATAATTATATGTTTTAATATTAATACAAAATTAATAATTTTCAGATTCTGCTTTAAAACTTCAAAGATTTCTTGAAAAAAACAATAAACCTGACAAAGAATCCTTTAATTTTTTCACTTGTATAGTTAGTGATGAATTTAAAAAATTCGAATCAAATCTTCAACTAAAACCTCATTTAATGGATTCTCTTCGTGATTTTCAAGGCAATTCATTGGTTATGGTATCTGTAAAAGAAAATAAAAAAAAATTTATCAAGTTGTTATTAGATACAAAATGCGATCTTTCAATTAAAAACAACAGTGGCCAAAGTATTTTCCACATAGCATGTTATTCTGGCTCATATTCAATTTTAAAAATGGTCATCGAAGCTGGAGTTAATGTTTCCGATCGTGATAATTTTGGTGCTACTGGTCTTCATATCGCCGTTGAAAGAGGACATATATGTTTGGTTGAAGAACTATTGGAATATCATTTTTGGTTGTTTCATATAAAAGATAATTTTTGTTTCTCTGCTCTTCATTATGCTATACAAGATAATAATAGTGAAATAGTTAAACTTTTTACAGATTTTTTATATGTTGAAGGCATTGAAAATATCAACTCGATGGACTATAGCGGAATGACCCCACTTCATTGGGCCGCTGCTCTTGGTAATCTCAATATGGTAACTGAACTCGTTAAAGCTGGTGCCGATATCAATGCTCTGGACAGAAATAATGAATCACCAATTTTTAAGGCTATTACCTGTGGACATATTACCGTTGTTTTTTACTTTTTAATTTGTGAAAATATCCAATTAGATATTAAAAATACTTTAGGTGTAACCCCCAGACAACAATTAAAAATATATATTTTATAAAAAAAAATCACATAAATAGAAACTAAAAATATAAATTTTCACAAATTTTTAATTATATAATAAATTCTTTTTTAATTAATACCTTTTATTATTTTATTATTTTATTATTTTAATATTTTTATTACTTGTTTTTGAAAAGACAAATTGCTATTCATAAATAAATAAAAAAAGAAATTATAAAAAAAAATGGAAAAGAAGTTTCAAAGATTTAAAAAATCTTAGGGCATTTTAAAAAAAAAGGAGATAGTAATAAATAACTATAAAAATCCAAATTTTTAAAAATCAAATTCCAAATTTTCATTTTTTCGCTTTTTTTCATATGTATTACATTTTATATTTGTAAATATATTATTTTTTATTTTTGTTTCATAATTTATATATGGTTTTGTAGAAAATTATTTGTTGTGTTAATTTGTGTATCAGGTGTATTTTTTTTGATCAATTTAAAAAAAAAAAAAAATTAAAAAAAATAGAAAAAATAATCAAATCTTTTATTGCTTGTAAATATTTCATTTATTATTTTTATTATACATGAGAAATATGATTTAATTTATAATTATTTATTATATAAAGATGAACATGAAATATAAATTAAAAAAAAAAAAAAATATAAAAGTTAAAAAAAAAAAAAAAAAAAAAAAAAAAAAAAATAAGAAAAGACAATGTTTTTTTTTGTAATCTCTTTATTTAAAATATTTTATCAATTATATAAATATGAGGTTGTAGAACGTATTTATATATATATGACTGAGCTTGAAAAAATGGTGAATAGTTAAAATACAGGACTTCTGGATATATAAAAAAATTAATTTTGATTATGATTTTGATTTGAGGATGGACTTTTTGGGACTAAATTAACTTCTCTGATGCTATGTATGAAAATTTGTTTAAATTCTTCAAACTTCATGTGTTTTGATGTAATTGACATATAAAATGAATAGATATTGATGATATAACACTTGATTAAACATGAAACAGCAAATATTCTCCAATTTTTAACATATCCATGACTACCACCTGAATATAGATATCTGTTTGAATATCTATTACACTGAACCATTTTTTATAAAAATCTGATACTAATGGAGGAGACGTTCTTAGAGATTGGGAAAGGTCTTTTAAAAGTGAATCTAATTCAAAGTTTTCATTTTCATAAAGTCTGGTAAGAGCTAAAATGTAACCTTCACATGTTAACTGGGCAGGAGCTGGTAAATTAAAATCTTGATGCAAGTTTTTGAGTTTAACTAATGAAAATGATTTTAAAGTATCTTTTTGAATTGCTTCTGATAATAATGAGTACGAATTGGGGTTGGTTGAATGAGATAATGGATCTATACCACAAATTGATATAGGCATTCTCCTATTACTACTTGATCTTGAAACTCCTAAACCTAAACATTATTTCTTTAAAGTTGAATCATTTAATTTATAAAGATCCACTGCATCACTAATATTATAACCTTTACTTGGATTAACTTCACGATTTTGAGTTTTAAAACCAGTTGTTGCAATTGATTTAAATGTAGGAAATTTTTCATTTCTTTCATCAATTTTACAGACTTTATAATAACCATCAAGTTCTATTGCAATCCAACTTTTATCATTTTTTAATGTATCTTTGAGCAATGTGTTAATGTTGCTACTTGAGGAATCTGAAATTGTTGCCAACCAACATTTATTTACAATATGATTTAAATTATCTTTGGAAAAAAATGCACTATCGCCAACTAAATGAAATTTAAAATCTTTATACGTTCCTAATACGTGATCAACACTACTTGAGGGATTTATTTCATTATATAACTTGTTTAAAAACTCTATAATATATGGATATTTGAATTCTTTAAAAGACCCTCTTTTTGGTGATGATTCGGGGCTTTTTTTAGGGGATGACAAATGATGAATACGTTCTAAAAAGGTCCCAACCATATAACTTAAAAGACCATTTGCATGAGGTTTACGAGGTATACATATAATTGGAGATTTATTATTATCTTGAATATATTTCTCTTTTGATCTGAATTTAGGATATATTTATATATAGTTTCGTCAAGGGTGCAAACTTTAATTCCTTCTACCAAATCATAACTAATATCACTCATTTCACCTGCAATTCTTTTAATTTGATCATCTGTAAATTTTGTTGTTGATTGAACCAAAAAAAATCTGTTTCTTTTCATTTTTGTATTACTATGGTTTTTAATATCCATAATTGTTTTAAAAACACCCAAATCTAACATTAAGGTAATAGACCAATATTCAAAAAGCTCTTCTTTGGTAATCCTTGAAATAGGCTTAAATTTATACTTTTTGGAACCTCCTTCAAATTCTCTTTTATAAATCTCTTCTTTTTCTGAGTTGATTTTACTTAAATTGAGATTTGTTAGCTCCAAAAAACTATTTACAAATTTTTTATTGAAAAACAAACTAGTTACCTCTTCTAATGATATTCCATAATATTTATTTTCAAGTCTTGCATACGTATCACTATCAACCAAAGAGAGTTCTTCAGTTACAATTTTCCCCGACTTTGATTTAATTCATTTATTGCTTTTCTTTTATTGAAAGTATTCATTTAATAAATTTGTTGATAATTATAATAATTATAATTTTAAAAAAAAAATTTTAAAAAAAAAACCGAAATAAAAAAATAATAAAAAAAATAATATTTTTTAAAAAAATATTTTAAAAATTAAATAAAAATAAAATTTGTTAGACATACAACCATTTTTACATATACACTATTTTAATGTATATTTATATTTTTTTTTCAATTTTTTTTTATTTTAAAAAATTGACCATTTTTATTTTAAATAAAACCTCTTGAGTAAAAAATTATAAGATATATATATATATAATTAAATAATGGAATGATATTAAAAAAATAATAAATGAAGAGTTTCTATATAAATTGGTTTTTTATTTTTTTTTTTTTTATTTTTTTTTTTATTTTTTTTTTTTCATTTTGATTAAAAAAATTAATATTATAAATTTGTTTAAATTTAATTTTAGTATAAATAAATTAAATTTATTATTATCTACAAAACTATATAATATATATAATATAATTATCTCAAATAGAATATTTACACACACAAATATAAAAATAAAAAATGACCAAAAAATAAGATTTTTTTTTTATTTTTTTTTATTCTAATAATTAAATAATTTAAACACATATAAACACAAAAAATAATTTTCTACAAAACTATATATAAATCATTAAATAAAAATAAAAAATAATATATTTACAAAAATAAATTATAATACATGTATTTAATTTTTTTTTCTTCACAAACTTTTTTTCTTCCCTTTAATTTTTTTAGATTTTATATTCAAGTTCAGGAAATTATAAACAAAGGCTAATAAGAACAATAAAAAGGGGAAAATATAAAAATTTATCATAAATTATTTTAAAAATAAAAAAATAAAAAAATGTGTCAAATTTATTTATGTGGATGATGGTGGAATTGATGTTGGTGTTGGTGCTGTGGTATTTATTGTTGTTGACTCAAAGGGGTAGAGTCGAACTAGATATCACAAGTATTTTTCTTTAATAATTTGATGAGCTATCTGAGCCATAGAATAAAAGATTGAAATTAATTGGAGCATGTGATGAAACACCAAAGTAAATTCTTGTTGGGGAACACTCACAAGATAGTGGCTCAATTTCATTGAATATGGTATACGATGCATCTATTTCTTTAAGTGATGAACGTTTTTTTTGTGATGCATCCATTCTTTTTGAAATCTATTATAAATATAAAAAAAAGGTTAAGATTGTATTCGATTCAACAGATATTAAAGATATAATAATATTTTCATATATTAATATTCTATTTTATATGATATATAATAATATTTAGTTACAATTTTTTAAACACAAAAATTTTTTTTTTAATATAATAATATGGAAAAAATTTTAAGTTGTTTTTTTTTTTTTGAGGGTGTAATAATAACTTAATTGATTATTAAGTTTTTTGTTTAATTAAAAATAATAATAAAAAAAAATTAAAATTAAAATTAAAAATTAAATATAACTAAGTTTATATAACTTAAAAAATCAGGTCCTTTTGAATTAGGTAATAATTTTAAACAAGATTAAATTAAATTTGTATAAACAGATATAAAAATTGAATGAAAAAAAAAAAAAAAAAAAAATTTTGGAATTATAAAATTTTTTTTTTTTATAAAATCGAAAGTTTATTTATATTTTAATATAGTAAAAAATGAGATATATTATACAAATACAATAGTAGTTGTATTAAATATTCTCCAATATTTTTAACAATAATAATTTTTTTTAAAAATATTTTTATTTATAGAAAAAAGTGCCATTTAATAATTATTAATGGGAGAATACATATAAATAGACACAATGACCTCTGCTTCTCTAGATATTGATTTTTTACTTTTCTATGGTGGGTTGATAGAATTTACACAAAAATAACCTAAAATTTGCAATAATAATATTAAATAATAAAAAAAATAATATATTAAAAATTTCTTTTTTTTTTTTTTTTTTTTTTTTAAATATTTTTTTTTAAATTTATATATATATATATTTCTTATATATATATAATTACATATTTTTATAGAGAATTGGAGTGGAATCATTTGATCTAGTTAAAAACTCTCTTGATCTCAACTTATTTTGATTTTTTAAATGTGATAACATTATTGATGATTGAAATTCTAATTGTTCAGTGGAAAAACATGTTGCATCTAAAATAATAATAATAATAATAATTGTTAGTAATTTAAAAAATTTTAAAAGTTTTTTTATAATATATACCTTTTTTTGAACTGTTTACATTAATATTTTGATTTGTGTTATTAATGTTTTGGTTTTCAAAGCCAATATTATTTTTAGTAATCATTTGGTTACTGTTCATATTGTTATGAACATAGTTATTACTATTAATATTTTTATTGAAGTAGTTACTATTACTATTATTGTTATTATTAATATTGTAATTAAAGTTGCTCATGTTATTGTAATTATTATAACTATTAAAGCTATTATTGTTGTAAAAATCATTATTGGTGTTAATAGTATTAGTTTTTGTTGTTGTTGTTGTTGTAGTTGTATTTGTAGTATTGTTGTTAACATTGGTAATGATATTGGTATATGGGTCATTATAGTTGGTAAAGCTATTAAAGCCATTTTGGTTATTAAAATTATTAAAATTATTTATACTATAGTTATTTTGGTTATTATAGTTATTCATTTTTGTTGTAATGTAATTTATATTTTGTAATAATTATTGAATATAAAAAAATAAAAAAAATAAAAAAATTTTGATGAGCTTCATTTTTTTTTTTTTATTAATAAACAATGTATATATCGAATTTTATTAAAAATAGAGAGAAGTAATGTGAATATTCACAAATTTAATAATTATTAATACATAAAATAAAAATAGAATGTGGTTGTGATAGTGGTAGTGGTCCTTTGTTGTTATTGTTATTAATATTAAATTTGTTTTTATATTTATTTTAATTATTATTTTAATTATTATTTTTTATTATCATTTATGTTTTTTTTTTATATGTAAAAGAAGTCATTATAATATATTGAAGACATAAAAAAAAAATATTAATAAAAAAAAAAAATAACATTTAAAAATAAAAAACCAGGGGGTGTTTGGATGCGTTTTTTTAAAAAAAATTAAAAAAAGAAAATTTTTTTTTTTTATGTGCATCACTTTTTTTTTATATATAAAAAAAAAAAAAAAAATTTCGTTTCTTAATTTTTTTTTGTCGAGACACCCCCTTGTAAAAAACACTAATTTTAGAACATATTTATTTTTACATCAGTTTTTAAATTATTATTTCTTTTTTATTTATTTTTCAAAAAAAAGTGTGTTAAAAAATTGAAAGTGGGTAAAAATAGAATCATTTTTTTTAATATTTTGAACAACCACAGTGTGTTAAAAAAATTGAGCAATCTTTTGAAGGTAAAAATTTATTGATTCCGTTATAGTCAAAATCGAAACCTAATTTTATAATCAGACTACAATTTTTAGATCTAGGGTGGCAATAATGTTTGGAGCAAAGCATTTTTGAAGTTGAAAACTACTTTTGGTAAAAATAATTGAATCTGTTAAGTATACTTAATTTTGTAGAGGGCATTGAAAAATGTAATTGTTGATTTTTGATCTTATTAATTGTTTTTAAATCTATTTTTGAATCTGTTGTGTTTGAAAGGGTGAATAGTTTTGTAATAACCATTTTATACTCTGTTAGACCATCTTCGCCTGGAGTTGTCCTTCATTTCAAAACTCTTATTTATTTCTATTATTTCATTTCTTTTCTGTTATTTCATTTCCAAAGGGTACTTCTTTAAATACCCAATCATATGAATACTAAAAGATAAAATGTACCATCGTATCTATCATTTAATAATACACAAATCAATATACTTGAAACATTAAGAAATTTTTTTATAATAAATTCCTTGTATTTCTTTATTTTTTTGATTGCTGCTGCCATACAAAAGGTCATCTGATTTCTTCGTGATTATATACTTTGGAGTAAGTGGAGGGGTGAATTTGGTTCTTTTGATCAAAAATGTTTACATAAGATAAATCTATTATTGTTAAGTGAATCATTGTTTTGAGCCTGTTTTTGTTTATAGTTTAGCTTGTTGATTGGACCTGTTTTGTTTTATAACTACTTTAAGTTTGGGATCCTGATTTTCTTCATGTTTTGAAGTATCCTGTATTTTATTTGATTGGTTGTGATTTTTACTGTGGTTTTGAATTTGGTTGGTATTACCAAGGGGTTGTCTGTCATGAATTTATCTTGACGTTTTGTAAATTTTAAAAAAAAAAATTTAATTCAAAAAAAATAAATTTAATTTAAAAAAAATAAAATTTTTTTTTTTAATTTTATTCAAAAAAAAAAAAAAAAAAAAAAAAAAAAAAAAAAAAAAGATTAAATATTATTATGGTTTATTTCTCCAGATATAATTGTTTCGCATTTGATAACAAGTGGATTGGCCAACTAGTTTGGATACACTCTTCATTTGACTAGATCGGAGGTTCTCTACTAGATAGAATAAAGTTCTTTCGGCATCATTCATTATATTTCTAGCACTTTATGATGCGTTTCAATTATTCGATATGTCAAAAAGAAAACGAATTGATTTGGACATTGAAAACTTTTTTGTAACCCATCATTATTCAAAAACACCAAAGACTACAATTTCCTTTGCAGATGGGGCAAATCTATATTTTAAAAATTGTAATCATGATCAACTCTATAACAAGATGAAAGGTTCACTTCGTAAAAATTTTAAAGGTATGATAAAAAGGCATAACATATAAATTGTGATAATAATTTGTATTAATTGTTGTGATGTTTACTTTAGCTGATATTTGGCCTTTTGATTCAAAACAAGATTCGATAGAAATAATCGAATTACAAAAACATAGATATGAAGTTAATATTAAAATTGTTTCAAAAACATGGTATCTCAATTTTAACTCCAAATGATTTCCATCCTAGCGACAAGATGGCCCTTGATCCAGTAAAAAGATTGTTTGAAAAAATAACCGATATGCTTTTGTCGATCATTTGTGATATTAGAGCTAATGAATCAATCGATCCAAATCAAAGAAACCAACTCGAAGAACAAATTGTAAAAATTGAAAACATCATTAAATATTTAACCAATCTAGGTATTATTTATCGTATTTCAACCGCATCAGTATTGGAAGATATGAAGCAATCATTAGAACAATTTGGTAAATCTATTAATTACTTTTGTAATCTTTATAGCATCCCAGAACCAACCAAGCTTCATCTCAAAACCAACAAGAAACCATTACATACTTGCTCGACCATTCCAATGAGATTGGATGCCCATTGACCAGTATTGTTACCGAAGAAGGGTAATGAACTTTGGAACGAACCATACTAAAAAACAACTCAACTGGATTGGTGACCAGTAAATCAAAGATTGTCCAGAACAACCATTATGAAGCTTCAATAAAAAAAGTAAATAAATGTTATGGTAATCTTCAAACAGAACTTGATGGAAATGTAATACCTGAAAGTGTTAAATTAGTATCCAAATACAGAGAAGAAGAGGTTAGAGTTTTCGAAAGAATTATTGAAATCATTGAACCAGATGAATATGAAGAATCTGAAGATTCATCATTTCCCTTTACTGATTCAATGAGTGCAGATGAAAGAAGAAGAGTAATAACCTTAACATTTTATTTAAAAAGAATACTTTCCATTAGAGAGCTTTCATGTTTTGGTGAACAAGCCAGATTCAAAGCCAGTGGCAGAACTGCACTTCAGGTGTGTATTTTTGATGGTTGCCAGGCAATGTTTGCAAACAGCACATCTTATGACTCTCACGTAACCCAACCACATCGAATTCTATCTAAAGAAGATGCTCAAAAGTATAAACAAGTTTTGGAAGATCAAGAAAAATTCAAAAACAAATTTAATGGTGTATTTAGAAAATTTGAAATACAACCTGATCAATCGAAATGCAATATTTTCATTTTAGATTCTGAAACAACTGGCCTTACTTCCAATGCAGAAATTATTGAACTTTCGTGTGCTTGTTTAAATGGGGAAGCATTTTATCGTAAATCAAATCCAACCATCTCCAGAGTCTACCAAAATCAACAATCTCACAAGCCATGATTTAGCAGGTCACCAATATTGGGAAAAGGTTGGAGGAATTTTTTAATTTTATTGTCCAGCAATCGTCAGATGATGATGCTCCAATTTATAATCGCTCACAATGAAAAGTATGACAGAGGTAGAATTGTCTTTCATTTAACAAAATCAACTAAAGCTTTAGAATCATCATTCCATAAAACCATTAGCAGAATTAAATTTTTCGATTCTATTAACATCTTCAAATCAATTAAATTAGTGTTTCCAGTGGTTTCAGATAAAAAAAAAGGAATCATATTCATTGGATAATCTAGCAACTTTTTTTAAAATCAACACCGATCGTATCAATCGTCATAGCTCAAGTGGTGATGTTTTACTTTTATTTGAAATTCTTTTATTCTTTTTTCATAAAAACTATAAAGATCAAAACAATTTTCCTTTTCAATTGTTTGGAAACAAATAAAAAAAAACTTTATGGTTTATATTGTTCATTGGCCACAAAACAGCTGATGACGAAGTTTTAGAAAAGAAAATCAAATCTTTCAAAACTCCAATCCTAAACTTGGTTATTCAAACATTTAAAATAGATATTTTATCAAACAAAGATGATAACAACAAAGGATATTGAAAGATGATTTGAATGCATCAATTGTTGTTCGCTTGTTAAACAATGAAAAAGACAGAGAGGATTTGATAAAATCTTTCAAGAGATGGAGAGACAGAAAAAAAACCAATAATAATTATCATCATCTTCCCCATCTACACAATTTAAACCAGCTATATTTAATGTCGCAATGCCAACACCAGATCAAACCAACTGCCGCTTCCTCACCATCAAATAATACTACCCCAAATTCATCACCAGTTATAAACTCATCCACCAATAAAATACTCAATACAACAATTTTTTAGTTTATAGATAATTTTCACAAGCACCAACAAAATTTTATTTTTTTTTAATTTTATCTTTTTTTATTTTTTTTTTTTAATTTTTAAAAATTTATTAAACAAGCATTTTTTAGTTTTTTTGACTCCAGACACCCCCTGTAACTCTTCAAAGTTTGAATTATTAAAAACTTTACATTTATTTAAGTAACCAAACAATTTTCATTTTCTTTAAATCTTTATTAGATTCTCTAATGTTAATTTAAAATCTTTACTGAAATTTGCAAGGATAGTGTAATTATTATCATCTGTCTTATTAATATATAATTATTTGTGTTCCTGTGTTATAAAAATTATTGTGTGGCATTATTTTTTGTGAAAAATGGAGCGATTTTTTTATTTAAATAAAATTTTTTTTTAATTTTTCGAAAAAAAAAAACCACAAATTATTATAATTTTATTTTTTTAAATTTTTTATTAATAATTGATATTTTTAAACCCATTTTATTATAAAAAATTTATTTATAACAATCATAAAATATAAAATTTATTTGATATTATTACCTTAATATAATAATTTAAAATGAAAAATAAACTATTTTAAAATTAAAATATAAATCATATAAATTTTATCTAGAGAGTCCCAACTCGATGATGATTTTAAATGTTTCTAAAAATATATATCACATCTACAGAGTAAAAAAAATAAACAAACTCATCCAAATAAGTGATGTTTGTTTTATAAAACATTCCTACTTGCAAATTGCCATCTCTTTATTAAATAAAAATAAATTTATAGTTTAAATATAAAATTAATTATTATAATAATTATAATTAATAATATTTACTTGATTTATTGATTTAAATTTATTTCGCTCTTTTACACTGTCATTATGCTTTGGTGTTTCGGAAATATTATTAATTATAAAAATAAACAGTTTATTTGTAGCAACAATACTTCAATAACAATAACCAAAAAATACACCTTAATTATTATCAGCACCATCAACAAATCTATCAATTCTTTTATCCAAACTAAAGTTTATTATGGTCTTTTGCTGTTACACTCCAACCACATGCCCATTTTTATCTTCAAATATTAAACAAAGTAAGAGGTGTATTTGAACAAATATTATATATTATATACTAAAAAAATTTATATATAAATTGTAGTTATTTTTATATAAATTTTTTTTTAATTTATTTAAATAAATGAATAATAATAATTTTTTTTTTTTTTTAATTATTTATCAATAGCAATCTTCGTACTAATTTAATAGTCTGTAAATGCTATTTAGTTCTTTTGAAAGCTGGTAACTTTTTCTTTGCTTAGCATTATGGAGACCACAAGCATTACAAAGAGGTACATGTAGTGAAACACCTTCCCTATCTACCCAGCCTTTTCTCCACTCTGGTGTAGTTCTACATCTACATCTGAAGCAAGCTTCAGGCTTCTCTTTTCTTGGTCTTCCTCTTTTTCTTTTTACTGTAGTAACGTCACTTGAATTATTGCAATCCATTTTACTAATAAAGATTAATAGATAAAAAAAAATATTATAATTAGTAAATCTAAAATTTTTTTAATAGTTAATAAATATAAAATATACTACCAAACTGTGTATATATATTTGAAAAATTAATACTGATGAAAATAAAAATAAGTAAATCAAAAATTTATACCTTTTTAAAAAAACAAAAAAAAAAAAAAAAAAAACAAAATTCTTTCTAAAACTTTTCTTAATTATCAAATATGGATATAATTGATTTTAAGTCACTTAAAATCAAATAAAATCGTTTATATTATTATAATAAAAAAAAAAATTATATATATATTAATATTTTTTTTCTTTTTACTTTTTATATTCACCCCAAAAAAAAATGCAGCTTCTGTGTGTGAGAGTGGTTATGGCTGTGTTGCAGAGTGACTGTGTAATTTTTATACTTCCTACACACATCTATTAAATTACCCTCTATTTTTTTGCACATTTGGCTAAAAATAAAAATTTGCATTCAAATAAATAAAAAATTTACCCCATCACACTCTATTTTTTAATACACAAATTCATGAAATTGTATAATATTTTTTTTATTGATTCCAAACAACTCTAATATTAATTATTTTTTTTGGCCTTGAATAGTGTGGAAACAACTTATTGATCATTATGAAGATGAGTTTAAATTTATATAGAAACTCTATATAATTTGTATAAATTATTGTAATTAATTATATATATTTTTTTTTTTGTTGTTTTTTTTCTTTTATTATTTAGTGGTTTATGGCAGTATAACAATTTTTTTATGAATTATTGAGGTAAATTATAAATTTTTGAATTTATCTCACAACAACAGATATGCAAAAAAAAAAAAAATTAAAAAAAAGAAATATTGAGGGGCAAAATCATAATTTTTAATAAAAAAAAGTTTAAACTTTTTTTCAATTATTGGGTGTGAGAAAAGATTCACTTTTTTTTTTTAAAAGATTTTAAATATAACCACAAAAAAAAATACAAACACAAATTTTTTTTTATGCAAATAAAAAAATAACAATGTATTGATTTATTATAGCGTTGTTTATTTTTTTTATATAATTATTATCAGTTTGTTTTTATGAGGGATTCATGCCTAAAATTACTCTACCATTTAGTGTCTCGACAAAAAAAAATTAAAAAATGAAATTTTTTTTTTTTTTTATATATAAAAAAAAAGAGATGCACATAAAAAAAAAAAATTTTCATTTCTTAATTTTTTTTAAAAAAAAGCATCCAAACACCCCCTTGTTAGTGTGCCCCCTCTTTTTTAAAAACGGTGGCATATCGAGATAAGTTTTTTATTTCTTAATATTGAATCTATATAACAAAACCCAAGGAAAACTCGGTTAATGCTATAATATGAATTTTTATGTTGATAGTTACAAATTGTATTAAAAACCTTTCCAATTAGAACAATAATATAATTATAAAAAAAAGAACAAAATAATAGTTTATTTTATCAAAAAATTATATAATATTTTCATTATATATTTTTTAATTATTAACAAAGATTCCATAAATATTTTTCATTACTATTCATAAAAAAATAAGATATTTTTCATAATTAATAAAAAAAAAATATTTTTAGATATTTTTTTTTTAAAAATATTTTTTCATCAAAATTAATTTATTTTTCTAAAATAAATTAAAATAAAATAAAAAATTATAGAATTAGCAATATAAATACTAGGATTTTAAATTAAAACTTTAAACAATGAAATTTTTTTGAATTAGATTTTTATTTAATAATAAAAGTTATATGATAATTTACTATATTTTAGTCTTCTATTTCTTCTTCTTCAAGAAATTCTTCTTCTTCTTCAGAATATTCATTGGTCTTTTTAAATAGATCAAATTCACATTCATCACATCTATAAAGGATTTCAATTACACCAAATTCTATTTCAACAGGTTTTCTCCACCATTCTTCAGAAAATCTTGTGTGGCAAATATGGCAACGGGGTCTTCCATGTCTACGTTTTCCTCTTCCCGTAAACCCTGGTTTGGTTTTGTTAGTATTTCTATGTTTATAATTAAAATGTGGGTGGGGGTCGAGAAGCGCTAGATCCCACGACACGACGTCCTCGTGTACTCCATCCCCTCTAGGGATGAAACAGTTCACTTTATGCAATTCCCCGGGGTTCCTTGCAACCGGATGGCGAACGCTTCAGCCGCCTGAAGCAGCTCGGCATCCTGTACCCGACTCCCTCCGGACCAAAAGGAGAAACCGAGCCGTC